TCATGCAATTATGTATGTGAATCCAAGATAATTAACCTGTTGTTACTGTTTTTTTAATTTTGGAATATTAGGCCGTGGAAATCTCCTTTTTATGATTTTGATATATTGATTTGATTGCGAGATTCATGATTGAAGTTGAAGATGAAAGATTAACGGAACAATTGTGTATTTGTTTTATTTAGTTAATTAATTGAATAATAAATATTTTGACTATATTTATAATTTATAATTTATTTATTGGTTTTAATTGATTATAAAATAATTTTTAGAGTAGATGTAAATGGTTTGAATTGATCACGCAAAGAAAAAACAGCATTGTTGTGGATTCTGAAAATCCAACCCAGCATCCTCTCTCTCGGGCGATTTCACGGTTCTATTCTTTGCTATAATCGATTCAGGGTTTCCTTTCAATTTTAGAATCTTTCAGTATCCGTTCTCTCGAATAATTCCTGTTTAATTTTTCCTGTTGATTTTTTTATTTTAAATTTTATTTAAAAATATAATTATAATTGTTTTTTAAAAAAAAAATCACTCAAAATATATTTTTATTTTTAAAAAATTATTTTTAATATCAACACTTTAAAATAATTTAGAAATATCAAAAAAATATTAATTTAAATAAATAATTATATTGTATTATATTTTTTAAAAAAATAATTTTAAAACACCAAAACAAATATCACCTTAATCTCGGTAACTTGCAGCCTCGAAGAGACACGGCTATCGACTAGTCCTTATACCCAAGAATGTGAAGTAACAAAAACATTCCGAAAGATACAATCTTTGCAGTGCAATGAAACTCAGTGTGCTGCAAAAACTTGGGTGGCCAACAAGGGAACAGATCGAGTTTCAATAAATATCAAATCAAACCCCCCAATCTCAACTCATAATTATTCTCACGAGGCAAAAAAATGGTTCGGTTTCCTGAAAAAAGCTGGTAAATGATGTTTGCCACCCTTCTTTCAACAGACAAGGAAAAAAGACTAGATAGAGAATATCTTTTGATTTCTAATTCGCCCCATACACGAAGTTGAATGCTAATACTTTTACTTGCTAGCTTGCAGGCTCATGGAATACAAAGCGAGTGATAGTTGTTGAGATAAAGAATATTTGGTAAAGAGAAATTCTGAGCAGAAAAGGAGACTTCTCTTCTACATCACAGTCAAAGGTTCTAATAAGTTGTTTTCTATATATTCCGAGACAGAGAAAGAATTTGTATGTCCATTCCTACCAAATATTTTGTCCTGCTCGAAAGTTAACAAGCCATGAGGCCCAATTTCTAGGGACAGTATAACTCCCAAACGTTACAGAAATTAACTCGTAAGTGTTTTATTGCACAGGCATGATAATATAATAATAGCCAACGCCAAATTAGCCCTTTGGTCTGCTTCACAGGTCGATCACTACTAAAAATACCCCAACTAAACATTTCTTTCAGCAGAGACAAGGCCCTCTTTGATATGTTCACTATTGCTATAACAAGGCTGCGTAACTCATCCTAATAAGTTCAAGAATTTCCTTTGACAACTCCGCTACATTGATTCTATAAATGCATTTCACTACCCAATTCGTTCCAAAATTTCAACATTTACATAAGAGCTAAAACAAATGGCTACATTCTCGTGTACGATCCCCTTGCCCATCAGATGCTCTACCACCGGTAACAAACAAGATTCTAATAAGCAAAACCTGAACAAAATCAAAATTACTGGGACTCCCACCAGGTCCGTTAAGGTTGATACACTTGGCCAAACCGCCGGGGTGGCAAAAACCTCGGTTGCTTCGGTCGAAAATGGCCATATCTCCAAAGAGCAGATACGTCAAAACATACCAACAAAGAAGCAGTTTGTTGATTATCATCGCCAAGGCCTCATCGTCGAAGGTGGTGTTGGGTACAGACAGACTATTGTTATTAGGTCCTATGAAGTTGGTGCTGATAAAACTGCTACGCTCGAGAGCATCCTTAATCTTCTTCAGGTAATTAAAAGCTCAACTCTTCAAACATTTATCCATTCCATGCATAAAATGAGCGATGCCTTTGAGCCACGCTGATGGGAATTCTTCTGTAGTTTCAACTGTATTCTTAGTATTATTCCCAACTATTTAGGAAACAGCATTGAATCATGTATGGATGTCGGGACTTCTCAGCAATGGATTTGGTGCCACACATGGAATGATGAAGAACAATCTCATATGGGTTGTCTCAAGAATGCAAGTCCTGGTGGATCAATACCCAATCTGGTAGGTCCTCTCATCATTAACCACACAATGAACATTAGGAATACTTGTTTTGAGAAGCTTAATAGATTAGCAGTAAATGAAAAGTCTCTGTAAGCCAAGTATCCCCAATGGTTAACCAGTGTTTTCATGGTTTTGTGGTCATCAAATCAGCAGTTCGTATAAAAAGACTCAGGCCTGTAATGTTATACTCATAACAATAGAAAAGGTGTAGATATGATTTCTCTCATAATCAATGGCATTTATCCTGTACCATCGAAAAGTGACATTGCTGTGCCTTTTTTCCTTTCCCTTGTTGAAAGCGCTCATTCCCCTGAATCGCACATGGTCTGGAAACAGGTCTAGACACATATTTTTAGCTACTCCCACGATTTAGGGTTTAGAATTTACATAGTGGGATTTATAAATTTTTAAATCCCACGTATGACAAAGGTAATGGATGAAAAAACTTCGTGTTGCCAGTTCTGTTCCTTTTTGAAGTAAGCTACAGGTTTTTGCACCACTTAAAACCGCCTTAATTTTTCACTATATGGGATATTTACAATGGTTCTCTATCTAACTGAGAAACTACCATCATGTAGCAAAGCAACTAGTCCTGATTAATGAATAGATGAACGTGTCTTGCAGGGGAGAGATAGTGGAAATCGACACATGGGTTGGAGCATCAGGGAAGAATGGAATGCGGCGAGACTGGCTCATACGAAGCCAAGCAACAGGCCATGTCTTTGCACGTGCAACAAGGTTGATTTCATAACTCAATATTAATTTCCCTATATCACCCTCTAACTTGATCGTACCGTACTGACAACTTCAATTTCAAACAGCACTTGGGTGATGATGAACGAAAAGACAAGGCGCCTCTCAAAGATGCCAGAGGAGGTCAGGGCTGAAATTTCACCGTGGTTTATAGAGAAACAAGCTATCCATGAAGATGTTCCGGAGAAAATCTCGAAGTTGGACAGAAACGCAAAATATGTGAACTCAAACTTGAAGGTGAACTTCACAAAACCAAACTTCTAAAAGACAAAAACAAATGCTACAACTTAAAGCACCATAGACATACACTAACAACTATCCTGGTTTCTATTTTTTAGCCCAAGAGGAGTGATTTGGATATGAACCAACATGTCAACAATGTGAAGTACGTTAGATGGATGTTGGAGGTAAAACATTAACCACCACCATCTCTCTGATAGCTCATACGGAAAACCTTATTGACATGTTCGTTCTTTCTTAACTTATTTTTACAGACTATTCCTGACCAGTTTTTGGAGTCTCATCAACTTTCCGGCATCATCTTAGAGTACAGAAGGGAGTGTGGGAGTTCAAATATAGTTCAATCACTCTGCGAACCCGACGAGGATGGAATCCTTAATAGTGGTTTGCAACAAAACAACGACATGAGCCCGCTGAATAGGTTTTCATTGGCCTCAGAAATCATGGAAGGCAATGGACTCATAGGATCCCTTGACAAGGTCCCTCTAAGATACACACACCTCCTTCAAACCCAAGGAGATACTCAAAACGAAGAGATCGTAAGAGGAAAGACCACATGGAAGAAAAGGCAGTCTAATATTGAGCTGTCTAATATGCCATTTTCCATTTAACAAGATGCATTTACTGAGGGATCTTGCAAGCTGATCGTTGTTGAACGTCACTAGGTAAGAGAGACATCCTCGATACGACAAGGCATGCTCTAAGAATGATCAAGTGAAATGCACTTGTACATTAAAAAAAAACCGAGAGCTCCCATATTTCCAATCTTTCTACATTCTGGTCCTGTTTTTAAATAGGACCTGAATGGAGACCCGAATAAAGGTCCTCATGGTATGAAACGAGTTCCTGGGAAGGTGAGAAGAAGACAACAAAAACCATGGATTGTTTCGATTGGAATAACCATGTACATGGCGGTAACTTTCAGTGAAAAAAAAAACCAAAAAAAAAAAAACCTCTAGCCTGCCGGTAAGACTAATTGAAGACTCCTTCTCTGCCTGTATAAAGCAAGACATGTAATTATTATCATTACAGATTTAATAACACCCAAAAAACAAGAAAAAGAAAAGTTAATATTCTTCCACCCATTGTAGAGAGAAGGAAAGGAGGCTTGCATCAAGGAAAATGTGTAGGAAACTGTCTTATGGTTTAATAAATTTAAGAGTGTTTTCGAAGACTGAGATTATACGTCATGGGCGTATTGATTGCCAAAAAACAAACAAAAACAAAATCCTGCTTGATTGAGAGAGATACACCTTTTCTATTTATATATACACACACACAGTGGCATGGGAACGGATCGAGACAGAAGAACCTAGTGTTGTCAAAGAACAGGAATTGCTTTTCTAAATGATTTCCATTTTCACCTTGATTGAATCAATGACTCAAGTCCACAAATGTTTTCCCGAAAATCGGCTAAATCTTGCGGAGTCTCACTCCTAGAATTGTCGTGAGCAAACTAGAGATTGCCTTCTGTCAAAGCACCAATTATTTGCACAATTGCTTCGTAGGCTTTACAAAGGTCGATCAACAGGACAGAAAACCTTGAACTCTTTAAGAACTGCCTTGAATAATTGCCGGTTTGAGCCATAGGATTTACAGCAGGTGATAAGATAACGTCAAGATACCGGATCGAATAACTGCCAGGCTGCTTGCGGCGAACTAAACACAACAATCATATAAACGTAAACAGCAAAACATGTGCGAAAACTTCAGTTGAATCATATTTCAATGCTTATAAGCATATGCTATAAAGCCGACGCAAAATATAAATATTTTAAACATTCTGCTAAAATGCCCCAATGGAATTGTCAGGCATGCATTTTCCATTGAAAAATGCGAGGCAAGCCCGGTGTTAAAAATTGCTCCTCTCTCAGACAAGTTAAAAAGGAAAATTACCAATTTGATGATTGCTGCAAATTAGCAACACATGAGCCTACCATTAGAAGCATTTTCCAACTACCTATCATAAAAGAATTGAATACTCTAAAACTGTGATCCACTAACCTAAGAGAATAAGCATTTACAATTCCATGAAGCTATAGGGCATTTACAAGATGTATACCCATAAGAACATGAAGGAATAAAAGAATAGTGTACCATGCTAGCAAATTCATCGTCTCTTTCTTCCCAAACTTTTCCATGACCACATAATCAGGAATATTACAAGGCCAACTCCAACAGATGTCCAGAAGATGACCAACCATGCAGGCATTGGTTTGGGATAAAGACCTGGCAGAAATCAAAACAATAGGTCATTTCTACAGGAAATGAGAGTCATTTTGGATGCTTCACCAAAGCTGAATATTTTAGCTAAGTGGAAGCATAAACTAACAAGATACAAATAAAGAGCATACCATGTCCAAACTTGATGCAAATTAGAAGTTCCACGATGCAAATAGCAAGGGAAAGCCAACAAAAAGCGCCAACCTTTTTCACAGGCTTTCTGGTAAATTGACATAATTTCAACAAGGAAAAGCATACAGTTAATTCAGCCATTGACAACTCTCTATATAACCAGAAGAACAACATTGGGAGAGAAAGAGGGAGGGAGAGAGTACCGGTCTTGGAGATATGAATTGTATTCACGTGTTGTTGGTATAGCAATTAGCCACCACAAGATCAACCTGTACACTATTACAGGGTTCCTAGGAGGAACCCATAGACAAAACTTCAAAAAGAATGTGTTGAGCTCTACAGTCAGGAAGACAATACAGAGACTAAGAACTTGGATAAATCGCCATGGACCTAGCAAGGGATGCCATTCATCTTTGTCCCACTGTGCAGGTGTAAATTGTTCCAATGTTCGTTTGACCTAATTAGCAGGTGGTCAAGTTGCATGGTTAGAAATCATGCATCAGTATTTGTCAACACTGCAACAATATTTTCATCAAATGAAAATTATTTCGACTAAGATCAAGATTTGGAAGCCAAAGAGTACTAGTGAGAAACAGTGACGATGACTAAATTAGAGAGGGGAAAAGGGTTTGAAATTCAAACAGCATGTACTAACTTCTGGTTTGTATTCGTAAAAAAACATTGTACTTGCAACTAAAAAATGTCAAAAACAGACAAAAAGGAACTTAGTTGTTGAGGCCATGTTTTACCAGTAAATTAGAAAAGGTGACATCAACACTTCTTCAGATATATTAAGGAGGATACAATCAGGTATAAGATTTCTTTCTTCCAGCGCAAGGGTGCAAATTGTTTCTCAAGATAATTTTTATTGACCACCTTTTGTACCCTCAAGGGGATGGGAATTTTTGGCCTAACATGAGATATATTTTCAGTGGTCTCTTAAAAATTCCTTGGCACTAGCATGTACAAACATTGTGAAGTAGTTTTAATGACAAATAAATTGTTCTCAACCCAAATGATGGACCTGAAATTGCCATTGTAATTCCACTGGCTAGTAGAAGTGTCCACTTATAGCCGACGCTGACTCAAAAAAGGAGCAAAAGAAAAATGAAATTTCCAAACATACCTTGCTCATAATATTAGGTTGGCGACTTATACCAACCCACTCGTATGTTTTTCCATCAAAATACCCAACTGTATGCATTCCAGCCCAAATGCCTGCAAAGAAACCCAACCAAAAAGGTCACAATAAGCTACAATGAAATAATTTAAATGGCAAGCCAAAATTTGAAATCTCATTCATTTATCTTATGTAGTTTTCATGAAAAGGATTAAATACTAGATATTTTAGCTTAGAATGCTCAGATAGAAGAATCTGATATTGCACGAAACTGAGATCTTAAAGAATAAGAGGGAGGGGGAGGATTGCCAGCAGCTTCACATAATTTTCCTCGTGAACTCTTCAGTGCAGGCCACTTAAAATGACCAAGATATTGCTTGTGACAGCTAAGAAAGATGCTAGTCATACTATAGTGGTGCATTAAAGCCCAGAATTAAGTCAAACTTGATACTAGTTTTGGTTTGAAAAGCAGAATATATCATGGCTTCTACATGGATGTTCTGAACATATTTTACATCGGTTATATATGGTCCTTAGTTTACACAAATGGAAGCAACAGCCATAGAATCATGTTTCATTGAATGGTTAACACCTAAACATATAGAGCACATATCAAGTAACTTCAATATATCCATGGACTAAATTTTTAAGAAACTTCAACTAAATCATTGAACCAGCAACCATTTTGAAGGTAAAATCGAGTTTTCTACTTGTTTATATAAAGTTAGAAATCTTTGAACCACTTAACAGCCTAGCTTATCCAGGTTCCATCTGCACTTGACTATCATCATACTAAACTTCTAGTAGAAAGATTTAGTTATCAAGATAACATGATAATTAACAACTATTCCTTAAAAAATGTTGATTAATTAAATAGCTTAACACAACACTTCAGTTATGAGAGGACATGGATTTAACATGTATGATAGGGTCAAGATTTATGCTCCCCAACCTGTGCATCTATATGATCATGTGCTGAAAAAGAACATGCATGCCAGTTAAGACCGTCAACCCTAACTGACCTGTTGTCAACCCCAAATCAGTGAGACACTTAAATGGAGGTTAAGTGTTTTGCAAAAACAAATTGAAAACCTCCGAGTACACTACCACTCAATTTTATAGATAATGATTTTGTTTCTTTAGTTTCATTGCAAGGCCAATGGGCTTTGGGCTAAACAATGGAGGGTACCCTGAGACCTCTAAAGTGGAAATCAAAATTTTAACCACTTGAGTAGTATATTACTCTCTCCAATCAAATTTTCTTTTTTATATCCAGCTACCATCTAGAAAATGCCTCTTCATTTCAACTTCTTCGAACACCTGAAATCTCCTATAGCCAGACTTTATATTCATAAACAATCAGCCATTCATCAAAATGACAAATTAAAATGATACAGCCTGACAAAGAAAATAAAAAAAAAAGCCGCAGCTCAAGAATTCTCACCAAACCAATTGCATATCAAAATATCAAGAATGATACTGTCCCACCAGCATTCATTGAAGTTTGGTAGCATGTGGCGGAAGGTAAACTGAAAATACCAGTAATAAAGTTAGTTGAGCAGATTGAACACATAGCTGAGGACATGTTTCAGAGACCAGGAAGAAAAGGATGGGAATAACAAAAGGGAATGTTGGCATTGGCTTGATTCTAACCTCCATCAGCTCAAAACCAATTGACAGTACCCATAGAAGTGGCTGATTACGGATTAATATAGCCTTGCCCCACCATCCAAAGATATGTGCTAGAACAAATTCATCAAAAAGAGTGTCCTAGAAAGAAATAAAAAAATCAGAAATATTTTGCATCCAGATACTCTGTGTGTGTGTGTGGGGGGGGGGGGGGGGGGTGGTTTCTAACAAGAAATCATACCAAAACGTTCTTAAACTTGCTTGTAGGATTTTCAGGCACATAAATGCGACAATCAGCACCATATGATCTTTCAGGCAGTTCTGCTCAAACAAGTGTAAACAGCAATTAAGATAATAAAGCAAGATGTCAATATCCCACCAAATACAAGAATGAGATGTTAGCAGCTTACAAGTGTAATGTGTGGCTGCAGTACAGAATGATTTATCAACTAATATAGTGAATTTTAATGGTTATTGTGAGTTACAAAGCATTACCAATTCCAAGGTCAGGATGGAGAAACTTCATAAATTGCCGTGCATCATCACGCTTCTGCAAAGGAGAAATTTTAACCTTCAATCAGTAAACTATTCTTTAACACGCAAAGATCATCCAATTAGTCTGCAAAAATATTAGCTCATGAAGTGCATAAGAAATGAAGAACATCTAATTAACAAGTACAGATGTCAAATTTTAACCCATATGATTCATATGGACAGAATGAGCTCCGTTTTGATTGACATATAGAAAGCTAAAAGTGTTCATTGTATGTTATTTCTTGAAATAGGATCAAAAGACAATTGATTATGTATATTTTTTAGATAAGATTTAAAATACTATTAATTAGGGAAGAAAACAATGAAAATACACATTGCATTTGGATGGAGAATTTATTTAATGAGTTTCATGGCTTGCATAAATAGATATACAAATAGTAAATGAAATACTTGATTGAAATTGTTCTTGCAGAAAAATTGGAAGGCTTTAGTTATAATATCTTTGGCGAAATATTATGGAAATTATTGGTGTTTAATTAAAAGTTTAGACAATGTGATAAAAAAAAAAACATTAAACTAGTTTCCATGAAACCACTCAAGAACTTTTTTAATCCCATGTAAAAGATTTGTGAAATTTATAAATGATGGATCAATTTGAAAAGTTAAGCATGCAAGCACAGGCCTTCAACTAGTTTAACTATGAATTTGTTTTGAGAGTTTATGCACATGGAAACCATCTCTGTTAGAACAAATTGCCTTGCACAAACATGCATGCACATGTATATAAAGACACAAAACCAGATCATGTATATGTAAATGTGCGAGGAGAGTTAGATTTACAAAAGAAAAATCTGGAGAAGCAAGTATGTGAAGGTGCAAGCAACAGCTTAGCACAAGTGTGCACGAAAGTTGTCTTCACAAAAAGAAAACCAACCTGAAAAAGCAGAAATGTGAGGGCAACAAGATAAACAATGGCCAATCCATGAACTAAGCGCCAAATTGCTGGATGTGGCCTTATTAAAACCCTGCAAGAAAATACAAACTGACATATGTTAAGAGTTCACTTGAGAGCCAACCCATACAGTTGAACGCACAAGTTTGCCAAACAGCCAGATAATTTATGTCCTCTTGCACCCACCTGTTTCTGATATTTCCTCATACAAATTAGCATGCCAACAACCAAGTTATATTGAAACCTAAAACTACCTGAAATGCATCATTTATAATCTGAGATTGCTGGCCACTAATGCCCAACAAATAAGTTGAGCACATACATGCTAGATTTTATACTCTCAAATTTCAAATGACAAAAGAAACCATAACATATGCTTATTAATTTGAGATCCAATAAAGAGTAACAAAATAAAAGGAAATTTCATGATAACTCAATCCAGCAACTTACGTTGAAGGGGCCTGTAGTAAGCAATAACCAAGAAAAACTGCAGTCATTGCCCATATACCCCTGCAAGAAATAGCACATCGTGAGGCATTCAACATAATTTTGCATTTCATCAGTAAAAAATCAAATCAGCTAATCCCAAACAAAAGCACTGGATTAATAAGTATGTACAAACCTTTTCACAGATGTAACAACATCACCAGATGTGCAGCTCTCTGGATCTAGGGCTCCACTTGCCCATCTAGTAATCACATAAACAGACAACAAATGAAAACTTGTTGAAGAATTTTAATAGTCTTTAAACTGCTGTAGTAATGCACGACTGTGTTTTAAATAAATGCATGGTCATCTTCTGCACAGACAACAACCAGTAATCAAACAATCTTCTAAATCTAAAAGAACATATAAACACTCAAAACACAAGCAGACCATCTTTAGGAAGGCACAAAACAACCCCAGGTGAGTAAACTAATTAGAAGCATACACACAGATCATCAAAATATCATTTATTTGAATTCACCGACATTAGAGTAGAAAGAGAAAACTTCAAACAGAGAGAAGAATATCTAAAGCTTAACCAAAAGAAAGCCTCCTCTGACAATATGAAAATGAGATGCAAAAGTTCAGGTTACATGCTTCATAAATACGGTCACCCTTATTGCTTTAATATTTGTAAAGAAAAAAATAATGTCTAGCCAGATTCCTGAACCACTCCATCATATGGCAAAAACAAACTTTGAACATTGCAACCAAATATAAAAGAAAGCACGATAATTTTGAGAAAAATCAAATCCACACAATCAAACTATGCAAAGTAAGAATCTGACACCAAAGACAACATTCATTGGTTGAACTTAGAGAATCCTAAGTTTAAAATTACCAAGAGCATTACTCTCTGTTTGATACAAGAAAAGGAACTTCATTTGATCATAGCAAATTCATTTAGAGTGACATTTTCAACCTATGAAAGGAACTGTGACTGCACCAAGGGCATCTCTGCATCAACCCAGACTAAAATTGGATAAACCAATACAGTCACAGAACAGTTTGCAATTTTGATGACAAATAGATACAAATACTTTCTTGCAGTGGACCAATAGAAGATCATGATAATAGCAGATCCAACAGCTCTATTTGGGAAACAAAAATATAAGTACAAAGAGAAAACAATTCAGCCAGGCTAGAAATGTCTAGAATTTAGCATCTATTATAACAAATTTTAATCTATCAAATAATAAAGAGGTTGATTGGCCAACTTTAAGATACCGATAAAAATGTAGCGGTAACTCACATTAGAAAGCAAGCACCAATAAGTAACAACGAAATAGTTCGAGGCTTATATGCCCATGCAGTCCAGGGATCTACATCACCAACACTTGCTAATGCTAAATCACCGTTTGTATGAGCAAAATGGTCCTTTCTTCTCACTCTTGTTTGACCATTCAGCTCCATGATCGCCAGTGGTTATGAGATGCAACTTGCTCACTGAAAATCATAGATCAAGTAAGAAACAGAGAGTACTTCCATGTGGGGGGGCACCAAACTTGCCCTCATCACCCATAAAAAGTAAATACTGTGAACAATTGACAATAAAAATAACAGAGTTTCAGAGCATATGGGAGTAAATTAGTTTATTTGAAGTGGCAAGGAAACAACAATTACTCAGACGATGATCAACAACTATATCAACAGTGCATGCATGTAAGAGACTCATTAAAGGGATATAGGCTAATATGACTTCTTTTTGTTGTGAGGCCAAACACTGATCAACAATTATTTATATCTCACAATTGATTTCCACTAACCAGCTATAGTTTCAAGAAGCAAACAGAAAATGTAATTCTAAAGATTTTTTTTGTACACGTTAAAAACCATAACTGGAACCAATACAACAACCAATAGAAATTCCTAAATAAGAAAATTAAAGGCATGCAATAAGTTATGTATGGTGATAAATCTGTTTTTCATTCCACGGCCCCATGCCATACTAAGCATGATGGTTTTGTTCTTCAAATGTTATGAGTGCTAGATCAGATAAAATTCAATTTCGATGGGGACTACCACACATGACCTGCATTGTTGATTCAAGGAGCATAAAGCATTACAAGACATAAGGTACAAGAATTCAGAAACATTCCAATAAATGTAAGTAAGCACAATACCAACCACCTCATCATACATAAAAGCATGGTCCCATAGTAATACCCTACAAGGAATGTTGTCATTGATTACCATTCTTAAATAAGATTGCAACCCATTTCATGTAAGCTCTCATCCGAAAATCCAATATTCCACACATGCATAGGATTCACCAAGAGAAACTTACAGCAGAAACAATAAGAAACTTATACCAGCAAATCTGATTTCAAAACTATCTCTTATGTTATCTGACTGAAAATAAAGAAAAATTGATCAACAAGACCCTTAAAAAAAGATCCAATCTTTTAACTGTGTTCCGTAACTCTTAAAACTTTCCACGTTTTTTCTTCTTCATTTTTTTTTTTTTCGCCAGAAGCCAGATTGTACAAGGATAAATTTGACAAGGTATAGAAGATACTTGTCTAAGAAACTTCAAACCCCTGTAACAATAAACCCAGAAATGAAGTCCTTGTAATTGCGTTCCAATCTAAAAAATCTGCCACGGCTTCGCTATCAGAGAATTGATAGGATGCAAAAACCGAGTGAAAATTTAAGAAAATTTAAAAGATTAGACCAAACCAAATCTCATATTCAAGAGGAAACATTAAGCTTCAACACGAGCTACAATATTAAAACCCAGTAATCATTGAAAAGAGGTCACAGCTATATGGCTAAGAAAAGTGGTCAAAACTAAGACATAAAGAGAAATAAACAACCTTTTTTATTTATTAAAGGGATAATAAATTTACAAAACATGCAAATCACAGATTGAAAAAACAAATTAATTAGTACAGAGAATAAGACCCCACAAGAAATGAGGCAGTTAGTTACCTAGTAGTCATGTAACTACCAAACAGTACACCCTGTATAACTACTATGCAACAGGATCATTACTCCTTATTAAAATACTACACCCCATCTTTATAACCAAAAATTCATGGGAAAGGGACCATTTTAAATGATGGTAAGAAAGAACAAATCATTTCATAGGTAACCCAGAAATCTCAACGGTTAAAGACGTGGAAGAATTCATAGAAACTAGATTAGAAAAAACACACATCTAATACAGCAAATTAGAACAGCAAATTCACAAGAGAATCATAAAATGATTCATACATAACTAAATCACAACTTGGGTATCCAATAATTCAGAATCGAATCATTGCATGCAATCAAGAAAGCCTTGATAAGAGAAACAAGAAACGGTTTGAGTAACAGATTCAAAATGGCAACGGTAAATGCTATTAGTGTTGACAGAGAAAAACAAAAAAAATAAGTAAATGAATGAATGAATAAAAAGTCTCGTTGTAAAAATGGTTTTCGGGTATTTTTATTTAATTGAAAATGCAAATGACAAAAACTTTTAAGAAAAAAGAAAAACAGATATGCAGAAAGGTTGCCTGAAAAAGGCAAAATGGGCTTTTCATTCTTTTTCTTTTTTGTTGTGCACTTACGTAAGAAGAGAAGAGAGATCCCTTTCCGTACGATATTGCAGGCGAATACAAATAAGACCGTGACCGTCCGATCAGATAATAGAAATCAAGAACAAATGGAGGGGGGGGAGGGGGGGGGGTGGGGGGGAGATGTAGTATTACTTCAAAAGGAAAAAAAAGAAAAGTTAAACGGGTCTCTCCCACTCGCTCTGTTTAGGAGCAAACAAAATCTGGATCGGTGTGAGGTATGATTAATTGCAGAGAAGAGAGAAAACGAAGTATATAATATCTGAGGAGGAGGTTTAAAAAAAAATAACGGAAGGGCGAAAAGACTTTGCTTTGTTTATTAATAATAAAAGAGTGAGAGGTATGATGGCGACGAAGATGATGAGAGAGAGATTGGATGACTACGCGACTGCTTGTTCAAAAGTTAGAGAGAGGAAGAGACGAAGAAAGTACGATGGTCAAAGATAGATTTTTGAGATGTTTTGATAAAGCGTTTGGAATTGTGTTCATATCTGTGTTCTTAAAAAAAAATTAAAATTATTTTTAAAAATAATATTTTTTTATATTTTTAAATTATTTTGATAGGTTAATATTAAAAATAAATTGAAAAAATAAATTAAATTATTTTAATAAATTTTCAAAAAAATATACAATTAGAAAGACAATGCCAAACAAGGCCTTAATAGTTTAGATAGAAACGGTTCCTCTCTTGCATGAAGGGTGCGGACGGGTCTGAGCCTTTTGAATTTTCCTTGACTAAATTCTAACTTGGTACTTATAGTTTTAATAAACAATATAGTCAATCCCTCTGCTCCTATGTTTTTTATTTATGTTACAAATCATGTCCTAAGGTAAGTTCTCCGTTAATGAGGTGTTATGTTGTGAGCCGTCGCCAATTTAACATTTTTTATTTTAAGAATATATTTTCTTTTTCAATTAAATTTTCTAATCTCATTCGCTGTAAGGTTTAATTAAAATTTAAAATAAAATTCATATTTCATACACTTTGCAGAAGGACACGGTTCACTAGATTACAACAGTTAAATAACTATTCTGTACTTTTATAAAAATCAACAACCTTGTAATTAGGGGTGTTGCAGTTTTTTTTCCATTGGTCATTTTCACACATGTTTGAAAAAAATATTTTTGTCATATTTTGTTGGCATGTTAAAATAACTTAATTATTCTTGAGAGCAAAAGAATATTAAACTTGCATGGAGGAGCTTTTAGATCCTTTTTATTTTATAAACATTATGAAATGATATAATTACTTACTTTTAAAATAAAAAAAAAATCTTAAGACGTTGATGATATTCTTTTTGTTTAATCAAATTTATTTGGAAAATATTTGATATTTTAATTAATTTAAAATTATTTAAAAAATATTGTTTGTTTGTATTACACGCATCATTATATATGTTTTCATTCAATAACTAAATATTATTTTTCACACGAAAACATTTGAATCATCTTAATTACTCTATTATGAAGTGATAACATGCGTGAGTAATGAATTTCTAGTTTGATATTGATGAATTTTTTTTTTGGTGTTTGTCTTTTTAAAATTTCAAGACATCCCTCAATTTATCCTTTTAAAATTTCAAAACATCCATTTATTTGTTTTTCCTTTAAATTTGGTACATGTTTTTTTTTTAAATAATTTATAAATTTTGATTTTTTCTAACTTCAACCCCCTTTAATTTTTTTATATGTCAAACTCAATTTATATTCTTTTAATTAATATTTATTTTATTTGAAATAATTTATAAAATTAGATTTTTTTTGTGATTTCATCCTCCTTTGTTTCTTTTCTATCAAATTTTATCTTCATTCTTTTTATTGTTGTTTTTCTTACATGATAATTTTTTTAAATTGATATTTTTTTGTATAATTTCATCTTTAAATATTAAATTAATTAGGAATTAAGCTTATTTATTGAGCCCAGGTCTAGAATTTTATGAGTTATAAATTTGAAAGATTAACCCAAATTTAAAATATTTATTTGGATTTGCTTGGTTTTCTTTTATTTTTTAAGTTATTTTTTCAGTTTCATCCTTCATTGTTTATTTAATTAGAGATTAAGTTGTGTCATTTTATTTGTTTGTTTTTTATTGATTTTTTTGTTGGCTGTGAAAATAATTTGGGTTATCATAACCTTTGATATTGGATTGTTTAATGATTAAAATTTATAATTTTATTTAATTTACTTTAAATAAGATTACTCTAATATCACAATCAACTGATATATTTTGCATGCTAACCTGGTGAACTTGTGTTGGGTTTCTTCAATCTTATTTAGATAATATTTTTTTTTTAATTTTATCCTTTAATATATGTAGTTTTTTAGAAACTGAGCATCTTTTTCTTCTTCTTTTCATTTTACATTCTCCAGGGTTGTTACGTTTTCATTTAATGTTTTAGTTGCTATTAAATAAGATCCTTTAATATTTGATTTTTTATTTCAATTTTATCTTTCAACATTTAATTAACTAGAAACTTGTCTTTATACTTTGTTTTTTGCTTTTTTTATATGGGATTATTCTCATTTCATGGTCATGTTCAAGGTGTTAATGAGTTAACTTAGTTTTACTAGGGTTTTTTCTATTGCTTTTAAAAAAAAATATTTTTTTTAGTTTTATCTTTTAACATTAAATTATCTGATAATTTAACTTTTATAATTTTATGTAATTTTCTTTCAAAAGGGTTAACCCAATGTCAACATTTGATTTTATAAAAAATATTTTTTATATTTTAATTCCACTTTTCATTATTTGATTGACTGAGAATTGATTTTCAAGCTTTGTTTTTGCCTTTTTTTATATAGGGTTGTATTCTTATGTCTGTGATCGTGGAGTTGGTGAGTTAACTTGTTTTAACTCGATTTTTTTTTGTTTAAAAAAATATCTTGTTTTTAATTTCACTTTTTGATAGTAAATTGTTTAATAATTGAGTTTTGTAATTTTATTCAATTTAGTTTTGAGAGGTTACCCAATATCATAATCAAGTTATATATTTAAAATGCTAGCTCAAATAAGCTTGAATAGGTTGTTTTTCATATTTTTTTGTTAATTTTTTCACTTTACGGTTATTATATTTTTTTATTTATGTTATTAAATTGATCAAATTTATTAAACTCAATCAAATCAAAAACTCAACTTCTATATTTTTATCATTTGTTTTTAGTTTAGAAATACTTGTATTGCTTTAATATTTTTTTTTTTGGCACGGTAAAAAAATGAGGTCACCTCATGCTCAGCGCGGCCACCAATCCAACAAGTGAATAAAACTTCTCATGATTTCCACCAGTGTCCTCTCAAACAATTTGTTACTTTTTTTCTTCTCTCTGCTCGTCTTAGGTTTGTTGTTTACAGTCCTTTTTAGCTTCAAACATTCTCGTTCAGTTTATATATATGTATATATATGCGCCTCGTAGCTTAAAATGAAATTCGATCCCATTAGGTTTTTTCTTTGATGTTCTTCTCTTTCATAGCTACTGCCAAGCCGATATACAGAAGGTCACCTTAAAAGGTTGGTTGTGAAAAAATTTATGTTTGCATGTGAAAATAGAAAGTAGATCATATAATTAACGAAGCTACTTTACGAGCTTTTACAAGAACTAACACACTTGTTGATGAATCAACAGTCAATAAAATATTTTTATCTTGTCTAGAAATTAAATTATAACTTGCTCTTTTCCCCCCGAGCATTTGCCCACAACATAACCCTTGTTTACATGCCGCCGCCGCCCCCCTCCCCCAAATCTTGGACCATATATAAGTGGTTCCAATCATAGCTTAATTACCAGCTGATAATGAAATTCAATTCCCTCGTGTTAAATGCCTCCAGCTCTTGATTTTGTAATTGAATTGTTCGGTGGAAAACACCCGTCTGTTAAAAAATGATAGTAAAACCGCTTCACAGATTTCTGGGATCGCTGTGGAAAAAGGATGAAGCATGGGCTTGAAATTAGACGTCGTGGAATTTGCCTGTCATGGACGCCTCCTTGGAATGTCCATAATTATGATATATATCAAATTGTGATATTTTGTGCACAACTTGCCAGACATTATAACTATCTAAAGGACTCTGGAGTTAAGTTCATTATAGACAAGACTTTTCGAGAAGTTAATTTATGAAAAAAAATCTGCTGCAAAATTAACACTTGAATTGTTATATGGCTAGCAAATTTACATGATTTTTTCGGAAAAATCACAAAAAGTTAATTCTGTAGAATTAAAAGAAAAATAATGAGATGACTGGATATCGTTTTCAATAATAAAAAAAAAAACAGAGAGAGAAATGTCCAATAAACTAAGAGTGGTGTTCCTCTCACTCCACAATCTATTTTTATTGCCTAGATAGACCAAAATACCTCAAAATAGATTTTTCATAAATGACGATATTACGTCTCGGTTTTGCATTTATATCTGTGAATCATAGTTAAAAGTGAAAAGTCTTCGGTTTGTTGATTATAGTATTCAAACTTTACCCTTTTTTAATCAATACCTAGTGCCAGATTTAATTTCTAAAAAAATTAGACGTTTTTTTCTTGTTTAGTTTTTTATTATTTTTTTCCCAGATCACCAATAAATTTTTTATTTCAATAAAATTTAATAGTGATTATTTTTTATTATAAGATTATGAAAATTTTAATTTTTAATTTTTTTTATTTTTTTATTAATATAAATATCTATATCAGTTTATAATCACCTCTATTAATCTCATAAACTCTAAAATTAATAATTATATGAGTTCAAGTGCTCATAATAAAACTTAAATTTATAATTATTAAAGAGTAAATTTTTAAATCTAACAAATTAAATTATTTTTTAAATTTTAATAAA